GGGAGGTCAAGGAAGACCCTCAATTCAAGTGGGAGAGGGAAGGACGCAGGCGGAGCGGAGTTTGGCTGAGCCGGCTGTGCTGGCTATACACCCCTCCTACACCTACCCTCGCACCCCCAGCCTTCTGTTGTGGTTGGAAGAATGGAGAACCCCTCAGAGTCCTGTGAAGCTGTGTCTCATGACTCTTTCCTCACCTAGAAGGCTTTTGAGGGGCTGGTATGCTAGAGTCAAAAGTGAGTCATGTGTGTGTGTGTGTGTGTGTGTGTGTGTGTGTGTGTGTGTGTGTGTAATCGGCTCTTGTGCCTCCCTTTACCTCAAAGCCACAAAACACAGCTCTCATTGTTCCCTCTTGTCTAGGGCCTCCAGTGCTGCATCATTCATTCATTCAACAAATATTTACAGAACACTCACTATGTGCTAGACACTAGAGCTACGTTAGTGGGAAAGAACAGTGATTTCAAGACTGCCTGGGCACTAGAAGTGTGTGTGTGTGTGTGTATGCGTATGCATATATATACATAAATGTGTACAGTTTATGTGAACAGGAGGAAGAAGTGTGTTCAGAAAACTCAAGTTTGAAAGTTAGTTTGCATTTGCCTGTGGGTGCTACTGTTTGCTTGCTATGCAAACTTGCGTAAATTACATAAGGTCTCTGTGCCTGTTTCCCATCTGTAACATTTGGTAAGCTCAGCCTTAGCTCCTGGGGCTGTGGTAAGGACTGAACAAGAGAGTGTGCAGCGTGCACACGGCACCCAGCACAAAGCGGCCTTTCAGCACAAGCATTAGCCTTTGTTGCTTCCTTCTCACCTCACTCAGAGCTGGGTGCAGACAAACCCATAAAAGACCTGTTCTCTAAATTTGCCTCTTGCTCAACCTGGTGACTCAGAGACAGTCACCTGGTGCTAACCCCCTCTTGCCCCTGAGGCTCATCTCTAACACCCAGCCCACAGACCTCTGTGTACTTGAACAGCTGCTGTCTCCTGCCCTTCATTGTTGCCCTCCCTTCTAGTGACTTCATACAATGGGAGTTCATAAGGGGGTTGCTTCAGCCCCTTGATACCTTCCAGATGTGAGTCTGTACCAGCAGTTCCCTCTTAGCTGGCTAGGGACAGAGGGTAAGCACAGGGAGCCTCTGGGGTGGTGCCTAGGCACCCACCCTGTAGGACTAGGGAACATAGGACTTGATGGGAGAGAAGGCCAAGGGGATTCCAGCTCAGAGAGATCTGTGTGTGGCATTCCTAAGTGGGCAGCAGCTGGAACTCATTCTGAGTGTGGAAATGGCTAGGCCCACTCAGGGGTTAGGAGCAGGTCATGTCAAGGTCCCAGTGGCATAGTGGCTCCCTTATTCTCGAACAGCTGTTCTGCCCCCTTGGCATAGGGCTTGAGAACTAGGGCAGGAGTATGGGCTCAGCCAGGGCAACAGGAAGGTTCAAGGAACACACACACACACACACACACACACACACACACACACACACACACACAGCCCACCATGAATGTGTACACACCCAGGCTCAGGGGAGGAAGGAGAAAGAAGATGAGGTGTGAATGTATGCTTGTGGGGGCCGTGAGGCATCTTTGTCAGTCTGTGTGGCTGGGTGTGGATGATGCATGTTTATCTCTGTGCACCTGCTTCATTGTTCTCCGCATGAGTTTGCCTTCCAGGTGAGGGGTTGGGGTCTTCGACTCTGACCCTTCCAGAGCTCCTTAGCAGTTCAGCAGAGAGAGAGAGAGAGAGAGAGAGAGAGAGAGAGAGAGAGAGAGAGAGAGATCTCTTGGGGAGGGGGGGGGGGGGGAAACTATAGTAAACTATAGTTCATTAGTGTAGTCCAGGTCAAGGCTTTATAAACACAAGAAGAGCAGGACATTCTTGTGTGCGATCCTTAGCTTCTCATCAAGCTGTGATTTGGAGAGAGAGAGAGAGAGAGAGAGAGAGAGAGAGACTGAATACTCTTTTTATCATCTACACATATCTTAGTGACTGGTGTGTCTGGTGTTTTTGTCAGTTTATCTCAGAGACAATATCTTTATCTATAGCTCAGTGCATGCAAGTGCATGTGCTGGGTCCTGTTTCATTTTTTCTGTGTGGATATCTGCTTTTACAGTTTAACAGGGGCTAGAGGATCCTAGCTTCAAATCTGAATTTGGACAGCTACTAATTCATCAACCAAGGACAACCTCCTAAGCTTCCCCATGCCTTGGTTTTCTCATGGGGATAATAATAGCACTAACCTCATAGGGTCTGGTGAGGACTCACAGAAATCATGTTACATACCTGGCACAGGTCAGAACACTTTAGTGGTCCTGTCTTTGAACGTACTCCTCTCTGAGAGGCATGTCTCCTTGGTTCTGACTTCAGCATGTGACATCTCAGCCAGATTATAAACTGTTTCAGGGCAGACTGTGGGTCTTAATTGCCTTTAATGATACTCATGACACTGCAGTGCCACCCCGGTGTCTTGTACAAATGCCATCTGGAGGCGAAATAAGTTAAATAAACACATGAAACAAGATTGGTGTCTGACGTGTGCCCATACCTGGTAGTACAGGAAAATGTGGGTGGAAGCTGGTAATGGTGTAGTGACAGCCCAGCCCAGCCACGTGCCATGTGCCAGGGTCCCAATGCTCACTACTGCATCTATATTTCCTCAATCTCAATCTGACCTTGAGGATGGCAGTCAGGCTCCTTCCCTTCTCTGCTCACCTTGCCTCAAGACACTAGCCTAGGTGCTGCATGAGCCTGTTTTCTTGTGGGAGTGATGTGCGGGTACAGGAGAACCCTCCAGTCTTTGAGACTGATCTGGTTCTCCTTTGCAGCATGTGTGTGTGTGTGTGTTTGTGTGTATTTGAGCATTGCTCTGCTGGGTGTGTGCGAAATGCCTTTTTGTGTGACGACCCTGGATTTCAGCAGGGACAGGAGCCTGTGTGATGCGCGCCTCGTGCCTGGCATTTGCTCTCCTCCCCCAGCCTTCCCAGTTACATAAGCATCTTAGGGGTGAGTCAGTCCTGGACTCTGGGCTCCCCCTGCTGGCCACTGCTGGAGCCTAGAGTTTTGGGAGTGGCCTGCATTCTCCTTAGGCCTCAATCCTTCTGGAGATACTAAACTCTACCTACTGGTATGGTAGTTCCTTTGCAGTCCTAAGCCACAGGGTAAGAGATGATCCTTCAGCTCCCTGAAGAACTCCATCTCATCCCATAATGCTCACACTGAGTGTTGACTGCTACTTGTTTACCCTACGTTGCCTTAGTCTAAGGATGGTCCCTGATTATAGGGGACCATGCCAGCCTTGTTTACTAAGGTACTGCACAAGTTCTTACCCAATCAGTATTTGCTTCGTGAATGAGTTTACAGGGTGGAGGGCTTGGGAGGAGTACTCGGTGGGGTGTAGGGAGATTTGGGGACAGGCAAGCCTGAGCTTAAAATCACATCTTGACTACTTAAAAGCTGTGTGGCCTTGAGCAAGATACTTAACCCTTCCCAAGCTCAGATTACTCGTGTTAAATGAGGTCATCTTGTAAAATAAACTTTAAAGGCTAGAAAGAATATCCACAGGGGCCATATTGTGTAAGCATCCCTTAAATGGCTTCTATTATGATGATGATTGCCGACTCTCAAAACTTAAGCACCAGGGAGGCATTAAATCCACTAAACTTCCCACTAAAGGGAAAGCACCCTTCCTTCAAAGTATCTCCATGACTTTCAGTCTTCACATAGCTAAACTCAGCTTGTGGCTGATCTAGAGAAATGGTTTCAAGAGCCAGCCTGGGATATGCAGATGGGAAGCAGCAGGTCCCCTTTTACCCTGTTCCTGGGCAGTTTTGGGAGCCTCTGACTTCCCCCTCACAGTCCCAAACACTCTGTGTTTCTCTGTGGTTGCTGAATGTGGCTTCAAGTGGCAGCTCCATGAATAGTTCCTCTGAGAAAGAGAAGTCAAGGCAAGTCTGGTCTGGCCTGCACAGCTTCCCTTCCGTGTGCCTCACTTTCCCCCCACTTGAGGGGAGTCAGGAGGAGGGGAGGAGATGGAGATGGTGGGGTGTAGAGGTGAAGGACCTGGATGTGCTCTGGGCCACCTCCTACTGATGGCCTCTTCCACAGCCTTGACTTTGCAGGCTTGGCAGCCCCTTAGTCCCATTCTGGCCTTATCCTTCCTGTCCCTTCCTACTCTCAGCCTCCTTCACAGTGGGAAAGACTGAGCACTTAGAAGGAACTGCTTTTCCTTTCTACCACCTCTAGGCTAGCCCCACCCTTCCCACCAGAGAGCTATGTCCTCCTCATTGGAGACGACACCTATGCCCTAGTTAGGTTCAGATGTAATCAAACTTCGTAGAAAGCAGTTTAATTCAGAAACAACTCTGTCATCTCCATCTCCTGGGTTAGTTCCGGCTGGGTGCTCTCAGTTGATCATCACAGTAACCCTTTGAGAGACTGTCACAATCTCAGTTTCATTTGTGGGGGAGAAAACCGAGGTTGAGGGTGTTGAGCAACTGAAGACGAATCATTCAGTGAGGAAGCCTGGACGGCTAACCCATTTTCCATTGGCTTTGCTCTCTGCTCAGGTGTCAAACAGATCTCCAGTGACCTTCCAGGACCCTGACGCCCCTTGAGCCCAAACTCTTCTAGTCCTGGAAGTCCTGGGTCCCGCCCATGCCCACATAAATCAACAGGGTTTGCGGGAGAACTCAATGGCCCACGTCACTTAACAGGATGAATTCTGAGTGCGTAGCTACAGTCACCTGATCATCCCCAGGGGCTCGGCACCCGACGCTCCGGGAGCCGCCGGCAGGTGCAAGGCGGGGTGCGCGCTGTGCGAGGGTGGGAAGGGGTAGAGGAGTCCAGGTGCCGCCAGATCTCCCAGGCGTGAGGCGGAGCCACCTCGGGGGTTGAAGTCTGGCGGTTGCCTGGGCCCGGGGGCAGGGCAGGGGCGGGGCCCGGGGCGGGACTGGAGCAGGGCGGGACGGTGGGCGTGGCCGGAGGCCTGGGCGCGGCGCAAATGGTCTCCGGAGCTGCGGAGGGCGGGAAGAACCGCCCGAGGAGGAGAGGAGGGCGGGGAGTTGGCGACTCCCGCTCGGCTGGGCTCTGCGCACCCACGCCTCACTGCTCCGCTTCCTGCCCCCAACCCGGGCATGCGCCCCCCGCATCCCTGGCCCCCCAGAGCCCGCACCGCCCCCCGGAGCCTCCCAAGAGCCGCCTGCGCAGGATGGGCACCCCTAGCCCCACGCCGCTGTCCTGGCCGCTGCTGCTGCTAATGCTGGGTAAGCTGGGTCCTCGCCCCGTCTCTGGCCCTGCCCCGCAGGTGTCTGCCGCCGCTCACCCAGCCAGCCCACCTTCCTAGCATTTCAGAGCTCCTGGCATCCCTACTTCTCCATCAGGCGTGTCTCCAGCCTCTCTGTGCCTCGATGCCTCGCTTCTCTTTGCGGGCGCCTGCTCAACCAGCCATGGCGAGGTGGGGGTGCCCTAGCTCTAGGCCCTGAGCTGGAGCACAGTGACGACCCACAGAGGTCCTTCTTGAGGCACCATTGGGCAGGCTCCACTTCACACCCAGGTCCTGGGGTCGTTGCGTCCAAATACTGCAGCTCCCTCTGCCCCAACACTCAACTCTAGGCCTGGCCTTGGGTGCCTGCCCTGCGTGGGCAGTGCCTGGCGGTCTTCATAATTGCCCCAGAGTTGGCTGGAGGCCCAGGGGCTGGTTCTGCCTACGGTCTTTGAAGAATGTCTCCCCTAATTTATCCCCACACATTCCATCATCTGAAGCTCCTTCCCTCACCTTGTCTCCACCCTGAGCCAGTTCTTCTCTGCCCTTCTTCTTCCACTTTCCCAGATGGCACTTGACTGGTTGTCACACCCGGTTAGTCCCAGTTTCCCTGCTTTACGATAAACCAGGATCCATGGAAATTGATCCTGGAATCGCCAAGCACCAGGTGTCTGTCCTGGTGGGTGTTTGGGGGTGGTGACAGAGGGATTGTTTTGGGCCTGACCTGGAAGGCTTCTCCCCATAGGAGGTGGTCTGGGGAACAGTGTGGTGTGGAGGCAGTGGTCAAGACTGAACCCTTGAAGTGTGTGTGTGTGTGTGTGTGTGTGTGTGTGTGTGTGTGTGTGT